ATGGCCAACTCTCTGTTAGTCCTATGTCAATTTGATACAGTAGGGGATTCCGCACTTCACATATCTGTGTCCTCTGTCACTTTTATCAGCAGTCAGAACTGTTTAATCCATTGATAACATGTGGTAACCTGTTTTTCCGAGCCGCCTTTAAACGCAACATGAGCTCTAGACGCTCGCGCTGGGTTTACACCTGTGAAGGAGACTTGCTGCTGCTGCAGGTGTGTTAGAATCACGGCAGCAAACCAGCAAAATGCAAAGAACTTTTCACAGGTTTTCCCCCAAACTAACAGACTGAGTTGAGTAAAACTGTTGGATGCAGGTTAAGTTAGCTTGTTAACAAGTAGCGTGTAGGCTACTGGTGTTCTCTATGTTCAGCTACGATTCATTTTGCCCTGAAAAATGCTTGCTTCTCTTTCATAAACGCAACTACTGAAGACTGAAGTCAGCTGCACTGGACTTTATCGGGGAGTGTCAACTTTAACAGGGGGGCTGAAAATATAAATTAATGTCACGTTTTTTCAGATCGCTTGTGAAATAAATCTGGAAATGTGAGAAAGAAGCCACAAAATGACCTTCTTTCTTTGTGTCATTTGTATTTTTTATTTTTTAATTTTCGCTTTCCTTACACGAACCATTGAACGCCTGCGGAGGACAAGTGTGAAAACAACTGGAGCCTCCCAATCCGATTACCGCATAAGCTCCTTCCCCTCCCTCCGCCAAATCCCTCCACTGAACAGATTCAGCAGCAAACACCTACATTCCCATCTCCTGCCTATCAATGCTCATGTTTCATTTTAAAATATCCTGGTACAACGTTGTCATAATGCCATGTAGATGAGGGAAGGCTTTGCCTCGGGATGAATGACACATTTCTTGTCCCTGCATGTGGGGAGGAAGGATGTTTTCTTCACAATCATTCCTTCTGAAGTGGATGAATGTCACTCTGTGTGCGATAAAGCACATACATAACATACATACATCCAGCGTCAGGTACGTGACACTGCTACTAATTCTCCTTTGCGCCTCCAGAAGACGCCGCTTTAGTTTCCCAGTGTGTTTTTTGTTTTTTTTGATCGACCACTAGATGGCAGCAAAGTCAAAACAAATGATTTGACACAATTACCGATGTTGTTTCGAACAAAACAAATGGATTAGATGATTATCTGGAAGGCTGCAGACATTTGGCCACACTATGAACGCTGACCTGTCTGCCAGTCATACATACTGACAAATTTATACATACACAGAAACAAATTGTGTATTTTCTAAGGTTCAGTCTGCTGGGTAGTAAAAAAAAACAAAAAAAACTTCTATGTCACATTATGGTATCAAACTAAGAGAAATTATGATCTTGTGATTCCAATTTGTCAAAAATAATGACAGCCTCCATTGTGTTTTACTGAAATTTTGCAGGCTATGACAGCAGAAAGCAATGTATAATTGTGAACAGGAAGGGAAATG